AATACGAAGTTCGGGGTTGATTCTGCCAGGATATGCCCTCGGGAATCAAGGGGGTTGCCAGAGCGGTAAAGGTAACAATCTCATTGATAAAAATCTCCTAATTTGACTGAAATCGAAGCTATTGTCATTTTCGCGTCTCTCACCGCCTTGAGCCTAGTCTCATTTGTCTTTGTATAGACCTGATTCACCTCGAGTTCACTTCTGGTGGTGGTATAGAGTGGTTGTTGGAGGTTGAGCTCGGTTCCACCTCAGAGGCTCATAGGAGTATACCTCGAATAGGTATGGACAACTCTGGGTAGAGTAATGGGAGAGTGACAATAGTCTTTCCTCGATCCCAATTGCGTGACAATTATGTGGGTGTTCATGATGATCGCTTAGACCGGGAACTGGGAACAGTGACCTGTGACAGGGTTATCAGCATTCAAAGGCTGTCAGCAGTCTGAAAGTGATATAATTGCAAACTGTGATCGGAAGACCTGAAAAGGGGAAAGGTAAGAATGCATGTGTACTCCGTACAAAAGACCGTGAAAGTTGGAAGAGAAATCGATTGGAGGAGAAAGCAGGAAAAAGCGCGTCTGCATGTGTTGTTCGTCAACGTGGAAGAGTCTGTGCGTAAACATGTACTCTTGTATACTTTGTAGAGATTGATTGTTTACGTTTTACAGTATAATGTATTATTATTATAATAAATCATTATACTAAATCATTATAATAAACAAGACAATAATACAAAATAATATGTGATACATATCAAATGATACATTTTATCCGGTTGGATCGTTGATATATGTCTCAGGCTATACTTCCATATCATCCCTACTTCACCTCTTCACTTCTTCTTCTTCTTCTTCTCTCTTCTCACTTCTTCATACATGATCTCCCATCCGCCCCCCCTGACCAAATTACTCGTATTTTACAAACTTGAACCTCATGGCTGCACCTCGGCGGAGTCACCCTCTCCACTCGGCTCGTCTCTGCCAATCGTCCTGACCCATTTTCATCAGAACCACCTGCATGACAGACGCGCCTTTTTTTTTTTTTTCATTCCTGTACGATCGCCCACTCTAACCGCCCCTGAGGCTAGCTTCAAACAAAATCATTTTCTCTTACAGGTCCCAACGTCCCGGGCCTGTGTTTTCACCTATCAAAATCCACTCTGGGCTCCATGATCCCACCTTGATCCCACCTTGAGCCCACTGTTTACCGGAAAAAGACACGAAACCAAAATCATGCACTAAAAATGGCCCAAAAAAGAAAAAAACAAAAAAGAACGCTTCAACTGTCCCTTGGTTCTGGAACTGCCAGGGCCAACCGTTTCCCGAACCAACGATGCAATTCGGCTTGAATCTAAGCCTATCTTATACACATCGTATACATACCCGATACAACCTACAGCAAAAAAACCTCCCCATCCGTTCGATGCAAATGCAGCCCCCACTCAATTCAACCCCTCGATTGTACTTTCGGAGGAATCAGAAATCCAGTCTCCCCGCTTCCCGGTCTTCTTAGTGGTAATTTTGCCCTTTCTCGTTCTTCGAAACTCTTCTGGAAAACATATGAAACTGGTCCCGGCTGAAACGCCCATTTTTCTCTCTATTGACCTGGTATGCGTACTTTATTATTCTTCTAACCTGTACTGTAATACTAGAAAGCATCGTCCCTGCAGCTTCCCTCCCGAACGCTGGTCTCCTGCGCGATCCCGGCTGCTCAAGTCCGTTTGGCCAGAAAATCTTCCTGGAAAAAATCCCCCCCAAAAAATTAAGGGATTTCTGAATGGAGTTTGGTTCTACTGCTCTTTTTTCATTTTCTTTGGCTAGAAAGCCTTCAATTGTCAGATCATTCGTTTTCCTCTGTCATCCCTTTTGTTTCGTCTCCGCGTGGGAGGATATGGGGACATAAGAGACCTCCTCTCGTTCTCTGCTGGCGCGTGTCTTTGGATTGATTTTTTTTTCTTTCTTTAATTCTTTCTCTCTCACTCTCTTCGCTTTTCCTCTCAGACATAAATGAGGGATCAATTGATCTGAATTGTGTATCACGACCCTGACGACTGTCGTTCGCTGTCCTTTTTCCGGGATCATAATCTGGGAGGCTTTCTTTGTTTTTGTTTTTGTTTTTTGTTTTATATTTCTTTTCTTTTCGGAGGGAAAGGGAAGCCGGCTATAATCCGCTTCCATGGTCTGGATATGTCCAATCCATCTGATAGGCCATGGACCGAGGAGGACAAGGTATGGAGATTCTTTGACCGGATGTGAATTTGATGCTGATCAACCAGTACACTCTACTCACCGAGATCCTCAAGAAAGCTGGATTCCCTTCCAGCTATCTAGTACGCATGATTAAAGAATATGGGATAACTCCAAGCTGGGAGCATATTCCCCTTCCTCAAGGTATTATCGTCCAATTGCCGGCCAAAGAAGAAAGAGAAAGAGAAAAAAAAAAAAAAAAAGGCTTTGCAGATCAATATCAACATGGCGCTAACACCTGCCCCGGTCAAGGCCGCTCACTCAGCTCGTGCAAAACGGCCTATCTCAATATGGTTCAGCAGCCTGTGCACCCTCCAACACATCCAGTGGCTCCGTTTCCACCGCGATCCGATATGACCGGCCCGCCGGCCCCAATGGACCCGAGCACTATGCGCAAGCGGCCATTGTATCCTTCCGACAAGCCAATTCCTCGTGCAATCCAGCCAAGGCCACCAGCCAGCACCGCCTCCTACAGCAGCGAAAGCGGCGCATCAGCCCAGCTCTCCCCGAGGCTAGATGTCGGCCCCGGCGAACCACCCCGTAAACGAGGACGCCCAAGCAAAGCAGAGACCGAGCGGCGCAAGCTTCTAGCCGAGGCCCGTGGTGAAACTTACCCAGCCCCTCGACGGTCAGGGTCTGGCAGACTCAAAGTTCCTCCTTCGCCGACCAGCCCGGCCGGCCCATCGTCTACACCATTCCCGCCGGCTCCTCAACCATTCCACGGACCCAAGCCAGGCCCAAGCGCAATGCTCTATGACACTTCAACCATGCGCTCAGCAGTTCCACCACCTGGCCCCGGTCCCGCGCCAAATGACGAGCGCCGCGATATGCCAGCCCGTGGCATGGGCACCAACATGCGTGAACTACCCCGGCCAACAGAGATGGGCCATCCCCTCCCTTCACCACACGCCTTGCAACTAGGTCCCCCAGACGCGTTCCCTAGACTCAGCAACCCAGCCGAGCGGCCCTACAGCTTCGCACCAGATCGGTTCTCCCCGCCAGACAGTGGTCGGCGCGACTCGGTCACTAGTCGACCTGACCAACCACTAGGACCGTACTCGGAAGGACGAATGAGCACGACACCAGCCGAGAAACCTCCACGATGACCATTGATATTGATATTTTCCTTTTTTATATCGTCATTTTCATTTTCATTTTGATCCCAGTCTCGATTATACTTTCGACTTCGATTTCAGCCTTTGTTTTTTGAGGCCCAAGCGCCATGAATGAATGATCAAGCCATTGATGAACAATAGACAGCGTTCTCGTGTTGTGTTTATTGTGCGCGGTTTTTCTCCAAGCTCTTCAAGCGACCCTCTTTCACACCTCCGACTTTCCCTCTTCGATAATTCAACACTCCATGCATGCCTAACACTCTCATTTTATGCCCATGTGCCTGCCAACCTAGGTACTATATACCTAAGATCAGACAGACCACGGGATGGGAAATGCTTTTCTTTTCCTTCTCTCTCTGTGACAGTGACCTTCATACATCCATTGATGCGTTCAACGAGTTCCCCCACGTTCGATGAAGATAACGGCTTTCATATACTTGATATTCGATTTTCCTATGATCGAATCTTCACGCCATTGCGCCCCCAATTCAAGCAAGCGAGTCCTCCCACTGCATTCCTTCTGCTCCTGCTTCCTATTCGTCTTCTAGACAAACACACAATCTCAATATTGTGAAGCCTACTCCAAGCCCCACGACCCAAGACAAGACAAGACGTTTACGCCAATTGATGCCCTCCATGCCTCGCATCTTTCTTTTATTTCTTTACTCTGTCGCTTTTATACTTTCCATCTTTCTTTTTTCTTTCTCCCTCCAGCCCAGCCCAATGTCTAGCGTGCTATGCATTTGATGATGATGATGATGCATTATGTCTATTGCTACTACATGGCGATGGCGGTTATTTAAGCCTTGCCTTGCAATTTTCTTGTTTAAGGCTTGTTTACCTTGTAATTTATCTTACTATATTTGTGATATTTGATGATATTTTGGTTCCTGTTTTGAATCTTGGCTTTTGACTTTTGGCTTGCTTTCCTGTTTATTCTCTTCTTCTCTTCTATCCTGACTCTCCTATAGGATGATGTCCCACATTATCTGTCCTGGTTAATAATGAATTCAGAGTATTTAATCTCACACATATCACTTTTGGTCCTCATTCTTCATTCTTTATTGCCGTGTAACTTAGACGTGGTTTGCTAATGTATAGAGCATTTTGAAGCTGGATCTTTACACCATTGTATGCCTACATAGTTTGCATAGTCTTTGTTGAGCCCTGATGCCAAAACAATCGACCAAGAGAAAGATATGCAGGTTCATACGCTGGAAAGGGATACTTCAGTTCTGAGTCTCAGACCCAGACAGTGTATTTCCTGTTTTTACTTCACTTCGTATGAGAAATGGCAATGCTCTATATGTATAAATGGATGGATGGATGGGAATTTGGCCTAGCGGTTGTCGTTGGCGACATTGGAACCTGGTTGTGCAAGCTATAAACCGCAATTCCCGGAATTTATTACGTTTCCACTGGCCATATGCGTTCTATCACATACGTTCCAGCAAGGCAAATGCCGAAGTACTTACTCTCTTCAAACTTCATTCAACAGGTTCGCAGTCCATGTATGGGTCAAAGGAAAGATTAGACAAGAAAACTAGCTGTCTCCTTCGACGCCTTGAATGAAATGCTATCCCTATACAAAGAGCCTAAGCTTCACACAATGCCATCCAAACAACACCTTCTTCCCAGCCTATCACTCTGCACCACTAGAATTTCCACGGACTCGATCAAGAATTCGCTGCAGCTGTGCTTTGGAAGCACCGCTCCCCTCTGTAGACGACACACCCGTCGCCTCTAGAGAAGAGGGTTCAGGCTCTGGTATAGATTGGGATGAAACCGACAGGCGTTTCGGAGGATGAGGGTGAAACTCGCGGTTCTGCGAAGAATCATTATCTTTACTTGCACCACCACCCCGCTCCACTGACTCCTCAGCGTGCCTTTTCTGCAGCATCTGCGAGCGCAGCGCATCAACCGCAGACCCGAACCCTGAGGGTGTTCTCGACAGAGCAGAAGGGGTGAACTGATTCTCAATTTGAAGATTCAATTCCTTCTCTCTGGCCAGTTTCATCACTTCGTCGCTGTTTTTCTCAATGAGGCGAGTCAGGTACACCTTCGGGCCGGTATCGCGGTCCTTCAGGTTGTCCTTGATGCGGTCTAGTTCCTTCCTGTACGCTGTCTCGTAGATATTGAAATCCGCAGCGCCGGGCGATTCACTAACGAACTGTACCGGCTCGTCGTCCTCCATCTGGTCAGAATGATCCATTGAATATTCCGGCTCTTGAAAGATAGACGCCGGTTCGTCACTAGTTTGCATATCAATGGATTCCTGCTGCGAGGAGCCGTTGTATGTAGATGGGCCAATGAAGAGGTAGGGAAACTCCTCCTCCAGCGGATCACGGGCATGCCCTCTTGTCCCCTCCAGGCTGCGCTTAGTTCTATCCGAGCTTGCTCGCGAGAGGGGAATATGAGGTGATGCGGATTGAGAGTGGGGTTGAGCTTCGTGGCCAATATCCGGTTGAGCCGGGGACCCCCAGCTGCGGATGGACCCGGAGTCTTTTCGCTCGGACTCGAACACGCCGCTCGGCCTTTTGCTGCTGTTCGGGCTGTACTCCGGCCGGGATGAAAAGCTGGCTGAATCGCTAGACCCGAGGACTCCGGAATCGTCTCGGAATCCGGCAAAAGGACGCCGGCCGAAGCCCTTGCGCACGCCTGCACGCAAGCCGTGGATGTCGTGTGTTTGTGGAGCCGCTCCCACTGACGGAAAGGGTTCGTCTGGGTCCATTTCCATTGGTGGCTCGACCAAGTAGGCATCGTGATCTCCACCCAGAATGCTCCCACCGAAGGTACTTTGAATGGGGGATTGTGATTTGGTGGGATCTGTTAGTCGCTTGAATCTTTTGACAGCTTTCATCTGCGGGCTTTTGTTAATGAATATCCTATCAGAGCGAGGAATGGTAACATACCACGGTCATAAGATGTCCCATGTTTGTTGTAATGGCCGAGTTCATCTCCTCCTCTGTCGGCGGCTCAATGATTTGGGACGTGTTCTCCTCAAATGACAGCAAAGGGTCCGTTCCATCCTTCGTTACCCAGGGGTGTTCCTGTTGCATCTGGTCAGCATTGGCGAGCAGTGTAATTTCGATTGACTTACTCGTAAACCAAACATGTCGATGCGTTTCTCTGGATCTTTCTCGAGAATCCGACTTATCAAATCTTTGAATACTTCATCTGACTCTTCTTCGTAGACCAGGGGATCTCCTCTGATACTATCATACAGCTCGAAGATGCTCTGCTTCTCAAATGGCAGCCTTCCATATCGCAGACAATATAGAGTTACCCCCATGGACCAGATATCCGTCGCCCTTCCGGATACATCGCCATGTTTGACCACGCACAGCTCTGGCGGGAGAAATGCTGGTGACCCAGCTGACTTGCCAGTGAACATGTCCGAATCTTTTTCGAACATCTCTGATACACCAAAGTCGACCACTTTCAGCAGGTCGTCGTTGGTCACCAGACAGTTGTCCGGCTTTATGTCTCGATGGACAATGCCCTGCGAATGCAGATACTCGATTCCCAAGATCAGATCACGGAACCAACATCGACATTGCTCATCATCATACGGATCTGCTTTCTCTTCCAGCCCGACCTTCATGACAACACCCTTCTTGCACATTTCCATTACCATATATAATGAGTCCTCTGTCGGATCGTCCAATACCTCGATCAATGACACCAGATTGTTATGGTTGAGTTTCTTCATGATTGCAATTTCCTCTTTGATCAGATATAAAGGATTCTTTCCGATCTCCTTATCGTCACCGGAAGGATGCCGATGTAACGGCGAGTTGAAATCTGTTCCTGGCCGAATCGGACCTCGCGGTCTTCGCAACAGATGTGACTGCGCACGTTTCCTTAGTCTGGACTTGGAGAATTCCTTGACTGCCTGAATTTACAGATAGTTTATCTGACAGTTAGCAAGTCCATTTTCCATGCTGACCAGACTCATATCAAGCAGGTTCATGCTCATACATATTCATTGCCAAACTGATCTGCAGCCAGATGGACAGCTCCGAATGATCCACGTCCGATTTCCTGCTTGATCACATACTGGTTGATGCGATGTTCCGCAGTACCGTCATCTTGACTCGTATAATACTCGGAGCGGGCGTCCAGTGTTTCCTAATCCGTGGTATCAGTTCTCTGAAGCTGTCACAACGGCATTGAGAGACCGACCTTCACCGGACGCCTTGCTCTTGGGTTTCGTCGTCGGTGCCTCCCAGAACTGTCATAGGATGCAGTAGACCTATTTGCAGATTGGGCGTCAGTATGATGCACCATACTCAGGAAAAATCAATCTCCCGCAGGTGTTTCATAGTGAAACTCACCCAACTCTGCTCGCCTGGGGCCGCACATCGTCTATACCCTCGAGTGAGGCGATAGAGGGATCTGCGGATAGATCCGACATAGGGGTTGCCACATTCCCATTCATTGAAATACACTGACAACCAAGTGCTGGTAGAAGATGTGTGGGGTAATGAGGAAGTTCGAGCGGGGGATTCGATAACGTGAGATGCGGGCTGTCAGCCTTACGAGGCCGCCCTTTGCAAGGATTGGACAAAAGATAGAATAAAATGATACTAAGCCCTATGTATAATTAAAGAAAAGTTCAGTCGAATCGGAAACCCCGAAGAAAGTTCTAGGCAGCTTCTTTTTTGATATGGGCTTTTGTTATCGATACGGGAACTAATTTCACCGCCTGTCAATCTCGGAACTCCCCTGAACATCAACAACAACTTGTTTCAGGTCACACTATACACAATGGTTGTCTACTCGTTCTACATCTTTGATCGGCATGGTAATCACTCTCCTGTTATATAATTGAAATTATATTCATATACTAACTGTCATCCAGCGGAATGCATCTACAAGCGCCGCTGGCTTCCGCGCCCGACCTCCACCGTGGGGAAGTCCCGGTCTGACACAGTATCCGGCGCAGCACCCACTGGTCTCGGCCAGACAGTGCGATCGACAGACGATGATTCGAAGTTGGTATTCGGCACGGTCTTCTCGCTGCGGAATATGGTGCGCAAGCTAGGGGGCGAAGAGGACAAGTAAGACTGCCCCTGAAGCAAGCCAGGCACGACCTGCTTGCTGGCCTTTGGATGTACGGACGAAGCCGATGCTAACCGCAACTAGCTTTGTGTCATTCACCACCAGCCAATACAAGCTTCACTACTACGAGACGCCGACGAATACCAAGTTCGTCATGCTGACGGACCTCAAGAGTCCCAGCATGCGCATCGCGCTGCAACAGATCTATATCAATCTGTTTGTGGAATACGGTTCGTGTGGTTTATGGATCCCGTTTGGCAGGCTCGGATAGTGCTAACTCGGTTCGGTCTGTTCAGTGGTTAAGAATCCCCTTTCTCCGACCGAGCATCCCGGCGGTGTGGGCGTGAACAACGAGTTATTTGAGGAATCATTGGAGCAATTTGTGGTACGTGCATTTTAGTTCTGGCATACTGCCTTAGTTGTTGACTTGTGTTCTGATCTGGTAGCAGACTCGGGTTCTGTCATGATGTCGAACTGGGCACCCCTCACGGAATCTGGAGGCCAGTTCGCGCAAGCAAGTCCACGTGAAGGAAGGAAAAAGCGACAGGATCTCACCGCTGGGACCTATCGGGGCTAGCATATACAAATCGGTATCTCGAAGGCGTGAGATCGGCATAGCTGCAATCGAGCGCACACCGCAGCGGACTCGCCCGTTGTCAAGCACACTGTTCTACGGGCACCTGCAGACAACAACACATTTGGCGGAAAAGGAGATTACCGGGACACAGCACCGAAGCCAAGCACGGCAAGGTTCTCATACCGCCTTTTCATGTGTGGCTGCCAGTCAATGAAACCTGCTTCCTTCCCACGTGGCATTCCCAGCGCCGCTAGTACGCTGTAGGCCGGGGAAATTACGGTGCGGAGTGTCCCGGGGGCCGGCCCGTAAATAGATCGGCTTCGTCTTATTAGGTGCTATCAGCCAGGAACACTGAACAGAGCTTTTTGTTACTGGTGTTCGGGGAGAGTCGGAAGAATCGATTACCGCTGATATAACGCAATATCCATGCGAATTGTCCCACCATAGGCGCAATAACCAGTTTCCGGCTTTGAAATGCCTGCTTATTATAAACCTGGGGTATAGGTTGTATAGGTCCAAACAAATGCCGCAGCCACCAACAACGCCATATAAAAAAAACCCAAACTATATCCGGGTCTAGAGCGCTAACCACACTCTTAATCCGAGCAGCTATAGCCAAGCAGCGCCGCCAAGAACCAGCTTTCCCAACCGGTCCAGCATGGCTCGTGGGTCTGCCTCTGCATGGAGGCACTGACCCGACAAGCCGATAGGTGTAGACTGGAGAATCAAGTGAGAAGATAGATCATATGACAATAATTGGATCTTGCAATTGCTTTTTCTACCTACCGCGTAAAGAAAAAGCACAGCTCAATGCATATTGCAACGCTGAAAAGCAAGATATCCACAGACAGCTCTCAGCTTCAGGTCAGATCGTCCCCCATCCTGCATCCTGCATGGCTTGGCGAAAGCACAGACGTCCACACATACAGGTTTAGCACAACGTACATCCACAGCGGGATAACAGATTCTAACGAAAGACAAGCTCCGCCCCTCCTATTCACCCAAGCTCTTTTGCTCCGTAGTGCATACGTACATAGGAAATATAGTTACGAAGTATGTACATATGTAGTTACTAGTGCATACCCATAGGCACCTACATGCACACAGAGAGAATAAAACAATATAATGCCACAGCTTATCTCAAGCTTGGACCATTCAGCAACGCCAAATGGGTGTCGCAGTGCAAAGCCAACCAATCCTACAATTTCACGGCTGTGTCTCTTCCTGCAACCGCAAACTGGCGGTCAAGCATGCACCGGCTTGAACCGGAATTTGGGTTGCAGCCGGTGTTGAGTGGCTTTGTGGTTGTTTTTACATTAAGTAAACATGTGAACTAAGAGTTCCCATGAACTGACTTGATCCCATACCCTAAGAATATGGGCTTTATTGGAGAGATGTGATCTCCAAGATCTTCGCTCTGCTATATATCACCCACCACGTATGCCACTTAGTCGATCCTCTTCTGTTGGGATCAACGGCATCCAAAACTTTGTATACGCATGCAGAGTAGTGATTCGAACCGAATCAGTGCCCGAATACTTTGGTGAAGGAGTTGGACTTTTTGTGCTGTAGATGCCTAGGCTGCTATCATAAATGTGTGTAATGGTAACCGAGGGGATTGGATATCAGATTATATGGCTTCTGCATTAGTGTAGAGAAAGGGAGCGGAGGCCGTCGCTGAAGCGAAAATAGCTGACCCTAATAAATTCCGTTATGTTGCTGGCTATCAAAAGCGATTGGACTTCAGGGACATGGAAATGTGGAAAGTGATACTTGAGACACCAACATGGCTACGGGGCAAAGTACCGTACTTGAGAGCGAGTTCTAATCTGAAAGAATGATTCATATGAAGATAGATACATGTTCAGCCCGCAATGAAGTTGAATCTTATGATTTGTTAGATCCATCCTGTTCGTCTTGTCCTTTGTTCTCGATATGGAACAACCTACTTAAAAAAACCCCAAAAAAAGATATCAAAGCAAGGGAAAAACTATGCCACCAGAAGTAATTGACTGTCAAGCTGGAATTATATGTACCTAGGTACAAAGGCCGTATGTTGTACGGAGTAATCATAGTCATGAAATTGGAATTTGGGGGAAGAGGGGTAGTGTTGAGTAGCTGTGTTGTAGAAGTACATGCCTCGGCGTAGGTGCATATAACATTGATATAGAAGGCTTGGTATATTTGTATATTGCACGTTGTACATCTACATACATGGTGCATAGTGGCTTTGTGCTGTGGGAAATTAAGATGGGTTCCTCTTAGGGCTGTGATTGGCGAGTGAAAATCCCTCGTAGTCGTTAGTGCTGGATACGGAAGCTTGTGTGACAAAGTGGAAATGCTGTTTTTTGCGTTACAGGTGAGATTGAGCTGTTATTTTCAGCTTTATTGTTTTTCTACAGCAAATGTCTTATCTATTATTCTTACAGTGTCCCGTGCCGAGGTCAATACTAACGGGCTTATTCGGAAATCGACAGTAATCCGGGGTAAAACGAACATTGAATAACATTATTGAGTATACCGCTAGTTACTACCCTGTACTAGCTCGGAAACAAAGCCCGGGTTCAGCGCGAAGCTCATGCTAGTATGGAAATCCTAGACACTAGGTGTCAACAATTTCCCCCACACGGAAACACCAGGGATCCGAAGAGACGGTGAACATTCCGTATTCCACCAAAGTAATAAGGCTGGACATATTCTCGTGCAGACGTGATAGTGATAGGGCCAAGAAAGAGCGATATATTCTATCCAATCCTTTTCAATTGAACAACTCAGTGTTAGTCAACCTGCACCACCCGGTCTATCCCAAATGCCGTCATCTGTCGGAATGACGCTACCAGATAGCGGAAAGCAACTCTTAGCCTCTGTTGTATACCCTATAACGTACTAGAGCATTATTGTACGTTGTACATCGCTGCGGGGGACTCCATCGTACAGAGACCCCACGCGGTTTCCGCGGTTTCCACGGACCCCGATGGAGAGATGTGCATGATTGACCGACTATTATTACGTAGCAGCGATCGTCTAGCAATCACTGACAGGAATTAGTGTCCAGGAATGGGGTTTTCTTGCGTTCGGGGTGATCGAGTTGACCAGCTGAACGCTGGTAGCGAGTGAGCACGGGTATAAACGGAGGCATCCGACAATTGGTTGAAAGGGGATTTAGGATTTACAATCAACGAGGACAGTGTCCCTTTTGAGAACTGGGATTTACCTGGATTTGATTTAGCAGGGGTTCATAGCCCGGATGACACACTGTGTCGATATATATTGTAAGTACATCCGATGGTACAGTAAGAGGAATGGTCTGATCTTCTTACTATAGCTATGCTCAATGTAAAAAAATGATGATCCCCGACCTACCAGATAGAGTAATAAAGCACGTCTAAGATGTTCACATTGTATGGTCCGGCTAATAGATTAATAGCATCCCCCCAATCATATCGGATGAATGGATCCTAATGGATACCCAGGTAGCTCTGGGAGGTACCCCTCAACTTCATACATCGGAAGTCCAACAGGGCCTCGGGATGACTACCGCCACACAGTGCACCCAGCGCGTCGGCTGCGGGGCTGATCGAATCACGACTGGGCTTCGTTGTGCAGACTGCACAGCCTCACTCCTTTGATGTGGTGGCGGAACTTATCAAAGCTACTTTCCCCTCTGTATTTCTAATATTCTAATATTCTAATATTCTAATAGGGATACATTTAGAATAGCAAGTGATACACATGTTATATGTATACATATAACTATGCAAAGACGTCACTTCTAATGAACGTCATTATTAATACTAGTAAATATGAAAATAATACATGTATTGCCCCAGGGCTCAATCTTCAACTCGGGAGAGACCCAGTTCCAGGATTTCTGAAAAAAACCTGTACTTTCATTACTTATTATACTAATTACTCTGGATTACTTCAATGTTTCATTACCATTAAATCTCTCACCAAAAAAAATAATAGCATCGAAAGCCTCGGAACGGACCTCGGGAATCCTTTCCATCTGGTCTACTTTGTACTCCATATGAAAATGTACATGCGCCACTTATTATTAAAGAATGTGCGTGCAACTAAAATATATCTAGACTCTACAGAGTACAAACATGTTAAAGCCCTAGATATATCTAGACTAGGTCTCACAGCGCCGGAGTCGCCGTATGCAGTATGTAGCCCTATAGGTCAAGACCAAAATGTAGAAACACCCGTAGCCCTGGAAAGCCCTGGAGCATTTGCAAGCATTAATAATCTTCGAGGGTAACCTGTACCGTTGCAGTGCCCACATTTTCCCCCTTCTCTCAATATGGAGTTATTTCCATTTTTTCTTTTTCTTTTTTTTCTTTTCCTATGAATTTTATAAATTTTTAATGGGTTTAACTATGTAATATATTACCGTACACCAAAAGGGATTTCCTCCCGTGATATTTCAAGTTCTTTAGCATCGCCAAATTTATCCCACTTATTTCCCACTTGCTTCTCTTTCTTTTTAATTTTCATTTCCTCTTCTTTTATCGCTTGTCTATATACCTCAGGGGCTCCTCGTTGCCAGAGGGCATCATTTTGGTGTGCGGTACTTCCAATATTTCCATATCTCTTTGTGTCGTCACCTTTTGCCCTTCTTGCCTCAGGCCATCAGTACTAGGCCTCCTACTTTTTTTTTTTTTTTTTACCTCGCCTCGCATCCTCTCACTTCTCTTTATCCTTACATTAAGGCCGTTTCGATTCGCCGCAGCTTCGTGCGAGCTGTAGAAGCTCGTATTCCAATCTGGGGACGGAGAATTTTGCGTCCCACCCCTCAATCTTCCAATCTTCACCTGTCGATCCACCGCACATGACTCCACCTTCCCCTTCACCTGTGCCTTCCGCAGTCTCTTCAGCCGCAGCTTCACAACACTCGTATGATCCCCCGGATGGAGATGCTTCGGTAACACGCGCCGTTGCGGGCATGAATCTGGCTGCCCACGCAAACGGGGACGCCCTCCCTGCTCAGGCATTATCTCCCGCCGGCAAACCGACTAGAGCTACCATGGCCTCTCGCCTCACGCGCATGTTCTCCAGCACGGGGAAACACACACCAAACAGAGAGAATGCCGAAGTTCCTCGTGACCTATCCGACAGCAGCTTGGAAAGTATCCAGCCTACCAGCGGCAGGACCTCGAAGCCATCATCTCGACCCGCCTCCAGACCTCCTTCTCGACCTCCCTCAAGAGGAGAAAATTCTCGAACACCGTCACGAAACCCGTCACTCAAGAACGAACCCGGGGAGAAATCGGACAGGAAGAAGATGGATGATAAAAAGACAAAAGATGGAGCTTCAGTCCACAAGCGATTTGAGGTTCTGCCGGAAGCTCTCGGCAATCACTCACATAACCTCAGAAGTGCTAGACGACAAGAGAAGCTCACCGATCTACTGCGGGACATGATGGGTGGCCGGAAAAAGGACGACCAGGTGGATGAGCAGCAGCTATCGCTGATGTCGACTTGGATTGATCAGTTCAAGACGGAGCGTGATAAGCTGGCTGCTGATAAGAAGGGTGGCCCGAATGCCACTGCTTCTCTGGTTGACAAGTACGGAAAGTGCCAAGAGATTGTGGGTCGCGGTGCTTTCGGTATCGTGCGTATCTCGCACAAGGTCGACCCTCAAGATTCCAAATGTGAACAGCTGTATGCTGTCAAGGAGTTCCGCCGCCGGCCTCAAGAAACGACCAAGAAGTACCAGAAACGACTGACTTCTGAATTTTGCATCTCATCGTCACTTCGTCACCCGAACGTCATTCACACTTTGGACCTCTTGCAAGATGCCAAGGGAGACTACTGTGAAGTTATGGAATACTGCGCTGGTGGCGATCTGTACACCCTGGTCCTTGCTGCCGGCAAGTTAGAAGTTGCCGAAGCCGACTGCTTTTTCAAGCAGTTGATGCGGGGCGTTGAGTATATGCACGAAATGGGTGTCGCACACCGCGACCTTAAGCCCGAAAATTTGCTCTTGACCACTCACGGTGCACTCAAGATCACCGATTTTGGTAACGGCGAATGCTTCCGTATGGCCTGGGAGAAGGAAGCCCATATGACCGCCGGACTCTGCGGTTCCGCTCCCTATATCGCCCCGGAGGAATACGTCGAGAGGGAATTTGATCCCCGAGCGGTTGATCTATGGGCGACTGGAGTGATCTACATGGCTATGCGCACCGGGCGGCATCTTTGGCGCGTGGCGCGCAAGGATGAAGACGAATTTTACCAGCGGTACCTAGACGGTCGCAAGCATGAGGATGGATACGCTCCCATCGAGACGTTACATCGGGTAAGAACAGCTAATCCCCCTCCTGCGTCTGCAGGGCAAAGACTTATGACTTCTCAGGCTCGTTGTCGCAACGTGATCTACTCCATCCTTGATCCCAATCCTTCTCGCCGCATCAATGCCTCACAGGTCCTCAAGTCCGAATGGGTACGCCAGATCAAGCTGTGCAAGGCCGGCGAGGAAGGGTTCTAATCGTTTCAACCACGAAAATTGTCAGGTGTCGAGGTCACAGGCCCGCTCCTCAAGGTTTGATGTGACCGAAACTATCCTTTTTCCATTTGCATCACAGGGTGGTTATCTATCATAGACCCATTCAAGGAGAGGGGCTTACTGGTTTTTATCCTTTGAATGCTCCTAAACTAGAAGGAGGCCCTTTACGAAGGTTTTTTTTTTCGCCTTTTATTTTCGTTTTATCCTGTTTGTTGGCTCCGGCGCATTCACAGTGTATCCCTGCCTCTTCAGCCTGTGCTCTATTACATCCATCTTTTAGCTTGTCTTTTTGTTTGGATTATCATGTCTTCAACGTCAATGCAACGAAGAATCATGACCGTTTTCTTTTGATCTGGTTTTCCTTTACAGTCTTTCGGAGTTTCACCTCGTCCGGTCTTTTTCGCGCGGGGTTTCGGCAGACACCTTGAAGTTTCTACGGCGTTGGCGGGAAATTCCCCATTTGAACTTTTCTTCCCTTGTACCACTATGACAAGCCCGGCTTCGGGCGAATGTGGGCATATTCTCACTTGGGTTGCGGGTCCTGGATTCTGGGGTTTCTCATCAATATGATAGTAGGCAGAGGCTCTGCTGCCCGCAACAGCAACAGGATCGGAACAGCCCTGGAGGAACAGGAATCGGTGCCTAAGTGGGATGTCCTACACTGGAGGTTGTCTGAATCTTTTTTGCTTTGGCTTTCTCGTTTCGACGTCGAATTCTAGTACATATTACCGAAGCGATTTGTATATATGGCTTAGGCATTTTGAATTTCTGTTACATGTGACTTGGTTCCACGTAGCAGGGTGCACATTCATTATCCGAGCATACCAGGTTCGTTCCAAGGTCCTATTTCCCCTCTTACAACTAAAAGGCACCTTCTACTCAACCTCCAAGTTCACAATCTACAGCCCCCAAAAACTATGACATCAACCCGAAGATCGGCGCCTATTGACCGAATGCAAGGTCCACAAGTGTTACCGAGACGATCAGCACGGTGCAGTAGATTAGCTCCGATATCTTCCCAACACATCAAGACCAGTGATATCATTCAACCTGGAGGTATTTCCCGGTCAACGATAATCATCCATGCATTTCTCCATACGCTAGCGAGAAAAACAAGAAGCCCCAGCGGTCTGATGCAAAATCGGGTGTGTCATATTCCAGACTAGCGCAGTCTAGTTATACATATTATTCACCCAATGCGTTTTATAACCTCTAATTACTGCACATACCTTAGGTCTGTATGAAACTCGGTAATACAGACATATGCAGCTAAAGAGGTGGATTCGAACTCTGCGACTTCTTTCACCCAGACACCCAATCCAAGCAACCAGCCCAAAAAAGGGATCCCGAGTAAAACTCGAGCAGACTCAAGTTGCATTTATTCACGCTTGGCATTATCATACAACTGTCTGCCAAGGACTGCACATAACTCAGTTACTTAGGCATCAACATTACAGCCTGGGCGAAGTGGATAAGAAGAATACCTGAATATGCACATGCCATGCAGGCGTACTGTAGCGGATGCAAGACCCAGCCCTACACTATGATACTGTATGTTGTACAAGGGGTAAGGGGTAATTATGTTAATATGTTAATATTTCAAACACATAGTTTTCATTATCTCTCTTGATTGCTCGCCTACCAGCGTTAAGCGGCTATATGCACCTGGTTTGAGTAGGAATGTCACAACAACGATACCGATATACAGTAAATTCTGTACCTTGGCCTGATTTACCTAGTATTACCAGTCCCTGTATCTTTTGCAGAAAAACCCAAAAAAAAAAAACTCAGACCCTCGCAGAACCTGAATAATGCAACGCTGATGTGGGTACTCCGTAGACAGCCCTACCAAACATGACGTATCCGCATCCGGGAGAATATGACATAAGCACAAGCACTCAGCCACACACAGCCACGCAAACCCGTAAGGCAGATCAAATCGGCTACACTTGGCATTGGGTTCGGGACCTTCACGACTTACCCTACAGCTTAACTCCAGAGGTTCTTCTCCGCTCCAGTCAACTGCAATCACTCACAACTCGCTTCTATTCCATACCCACTTACAGCCTATAATTTACACCAACTCAAAGCCGATCCTCATCTCCGGGTCCTCCGAACCACACCGCCACCATGTCTTGGGCAGGTACGCCTCATCCCACCAAAATCCTCGGACTCATGAACCGGTGCCAGTTTGAGCGAATCTAACCGCGTGGATGGATAGGATTCAAGAAGAATGTCAACCGTGCGACGACACAGGTGATGATGAAGACGGGTGAGTGTCGATTTCTACCCCACAATGAATCGAGAGAGGACGATCGGACACGATCCCGGATTGAGATACCCGCTACGCGCCACGATTTACCTGCCGCGCCATGTGGATGCGAATAACGTGCTGACTCGGTAATTGTATAGGACATGTCGAGAGAACGAATGATCGTGATTATGAGATCGAGGAACGGTATGGTTGTTCTTGCTGCTGCCTTAAGATGGTTATACCGGGACCGGAACTGACGTTGCCCATTATAGTCGTTACCGGACTATGGAGACCGCGGCGAATCGGTTGCAAAAGGAAGCGAAGGGGTATCTGGATTCACTACGAGGTGCGTGACCTTTTGCTTTGCGGATTGTTAGATCTGGTTCTTCAGTTGGCTGACTCTTCCCAGCCATGACGGCGTCCCAAATGCGCATTGCGGAGACTATTGATGCCTTCTACGGCGATGCGGGAACAAAAGATGGTGTGAGCCGGAGCTACAAGCAGGCCGTTGAGGATCTTGATGCCGAGACCATCAAGGCTCTGGACGGGCCATACCGGTATGAGATCCTTGTTTTTACTGACGAGTACACATGAGTAGCGCTAACAGAAGCCTAAGTACCACCGTCCTCGACCCCATCTCCCGATTCTGCGCCTACTTCCCCGACGTGAACGAATGCATCAAGAAACGCAACCACAAGCTACTAGACTACGACGCCATGCGCGCCAAGGTCAAGAAGCTAGCCGAGAAGCCCGACAAGGACGTCACCAAGCTGCCGCGGACCGAGCGCGAAGCCGAGATGGCCAAGCAGGCCTACGAGCAGCTGAATGAGCAGCTCTTCAACGAACTCCCCCAGCTTATCGACTTACGTGTGCCCTACCTCGACCCCAGCTTCGAAGCTCTCGTCAAAATCCAGCTTCGCTTCTGTGCCGAGGCGTACTCCCGCATGGCACAGGTGCAGCAGTATCTCGATGCCGAGACTCGCGACCAGTATGCCAAGGGTGATCTGGATAACCGGGTTGAGGAGGTCCTGCAGGAGATTCGCGATTTGAGCATAGCTGGAACCGTTTGAGCTGTTCTTTTAATCGACTACTCTATTAGCATAATACCGGATGTTTCTTTGCTGCACTGAGATCTGTGCAACAGACTCGCGCTTTTTTTTTCCCTTTTCTGCCTTTGTCGATAGACATCGGCAGCTATTTTCTCTGTTCATTTGCCTTGCACCAGGCGTTTTCTGTGTATATTTTAATACATCGAGCTGATTTTCATTGCTCTTCACTTTCTTCAATTCCATGCCTTCGCCTGCGCATATAACCACCAATCATGATGGGGGAACGGGGGTATAATTTGTATTGTACTCCAACAAAATCCGCACAATGCACATCACAAAAGATCAACCATCAAACCTTCAAACCTTCCCCGCAGGTCTAAAAAGCTCATCCCGAATAGTCTGCGCCACAGACATCGCCGCCCCCTGATAAGCCTTGAGCTCCTTATCAGTAACAGTCCCCAGCACATAGTCGGAAACAGCAGCCGTATCATGTGACGACGGACGACCAATACCAAGACCGACGCGCAAGATCGAGAGATCCGCCAACGGCCCGGTAACTCTTTTATTCGCGCCAGACGAGCGGGGATACAACCCCTTCTTGCGCAGCGTTTCACAGATACTCATGAGACCGCGATGACCGCGCAAACTGAACGACTCAGGGCCACCGTGTATGACGCGGACCTTGCCTTGGGCGATGGATAGTTCGTCGTGGAGGATGACGAGGGTTGTTGGGTATGTAGTTTGTGTGGGTAGGTTTGGGTTTGGTGAAGACGAGGCAGAAGCACGAGCTGCGGCAACACTGGCGATTCTTTCAAGGCGGCCAGCTCGCTCGCTCGCCCATTGTTCTAGCCGGCGTACGAGCTTCGGGCCTGTTATGTTCATCAGGGTTGGACTCGCCCATGTTTCGTGGTAGATGCCTGTGTTTGGGAGGGTGAGTTCGAGGATTGGTTTTAAGGCGTCGAGGAGGAGGTGGCCGGCGCTGTGTCGGGTGTTGTGGTAGGGGGCTGGATTCCCTATTGAGGCTATGAAGAGGAGGCGGCGGGGGAGTATGTCCATATTTGCAGGGAGGAGAGGACCTCGGTTTGGTGTATGATGTACACCTGGGCAGTATTCTTTTTTTCTCTCTATTGTCATTGGTTCAGGTACGGGAGATCGTCTCGTGACTTGGCTAATAGCGGAGATAAGGAATTGTTTATCTCCATGTTTATACAACCTTGGAAAACGTGCAGTTCTTGAGAGTGCGATTGATCATTTCTTGCAATAAGCGAATGTAGTGCGGTGACTGTGTTTGGCCCAGCTTTTCGAATATTCCTCGGTTCATCTGTTCTTGATCCTTGGTTGGCCCAGAAATAATTGGGTTGTTATCTGGCCCAGGGATGAAATCCATAACGATGTATCTTTTCTGGGTTTCTGGATCGACAAAGTTGGCGTAAACCTTTCGCACAGAAATCCTGCTGTTGGCAGCAACAATACTCATGTTCTTTGCTTCTAAAGGTGGAATTGCATATCCGATCTTGACCGCGAAGCGTTCCTTCACTCGAACCACTTTAATGGCATTTGTTCGTATACTAAGGACATCGGTTGACGCCTCAATCTCGGTAACCGTTGGTAGGTCAATGGTAGAATGTATCGAATGCATTTCGTTGGTCATTAAGATAGATACAGCGGATCGACTCGAATAAATCAAAAAAAGATGCTAGCACCCCCCATGTCATGTGACAATATACCATCGATCATCCTCGTTGTACATTTCGGGAAGGAATTTGGTCTGAAAGATGAATAGCTAATGAATGTCTTTGTGTAAGTAACCAATCCAGGAACCGGCGCGGCCTCTATGGCTTGTAGAGTATAAATGTCCATGGAGGTTTATAGAATACGTGAATTTTGTCCATTGCAATGAAACCAGACAAGCTTTTGGATATAACTCCCCTCGAACCCCATGCAAAACCGAGAATAACAACATAAAGAGACATTTACAGTTGGAACAAAGTTCTCGTCTTCTCCATTCCACCCTTCCATTCCCACTCCTGGCCACTGGCACGCTGGATGCCCTTATCAACACGACGCAGCTTCAAAGTGAAGCGAGGTCCTAGTTCCTGTAGACCAGTACGGATACCTTCAGCACCCACCATTTCCTTGCCGTCAGCACCAACGACAGCCTTCTCGGTCTCACGCTTCTCACGGAAGACGTAGCGGTGACGACGGACGAAGATGTAATCACGCTGGTTGTGCAGAGTGACAACCTGACGGCCCTCGAACTCCGGCTGAGGCGGGAAGAGTGTTCGGAACAAATGGGCAGTCAGAAGACCGAGAGGAGTACGGAAGTTATTGAGGATCAGCTCGGGCCAGTGCTCGGTGGCTCGGCCGTGTCCCGGAAGGCGCTTTCCTTCGATCCAGTTGCTGATGGTGAAGTGGAAAGTCGGGCCGACTGGCAAGTGCACCATAGTCAACCCAGAGGGACGCTTCTGGTCCTCATTCAACACGACGACCGTCGTGAAATTACGGTTTGCGGCGAATTTGGAAATCTCGCGGATTGAGAATTTGTGCGAGTACCGGTGGGCATTACGCCGGATGTACACGCTGTTCGGGAACACCTCGGTCAGGGTCTCGGCTTGGTCGTGGAGGGTAGAGTTGAGGCCGGTGGTGATAAGGATTTTCGGGGTGGGTGGGGGTCCCTCGGTGAAGAGTGTAGGGAATTTGGCGGCCAATGCTTCAGGAGCAAGGCTGAGGTTTGTGCTGCGTGTGGACTGGGTAGGACTTGTGGCACGCTCTGTCGCGGTTCGGAGAGAGGTCTTCTTCCGGCCGCGGCTGGCATTTTTGTCTGCGTCCTTTTCCTCATCCTCATCTTCATCTTCATTTTCACCGTTGTCTGATTCCAGCATACTGTCCACTGACTCATTGTCTGATTCCGGAGCCTCGCTGTCATCCTCGCCCTCTTCTAATGGTCGATTGAGCTCGTCTTCTTCTTCTTTCTTGGCGCGCTTGATGCGCTCAACGTCAACGCTCAGTCCTAGACCAGTTTCTTCGGTGTCGTTGTCGGCTTCGTTCCAGACACGTTTCCGCTCGAGGGTCAAAGGAATGTTGCGGCGAAGTCGTTCTTCCTTCAACTGGGGGTTCTTGGCTTCTTCTTTCTTGAAAGCGTAGCGCTCTTCTCGGCGCGCAGCATCTTTGGCTCTCTTGCGCTTGACATGGTTCATCTTCCGGCGCAGCTTGTTGCCGGTTTTAATATCGCCCATGACGCCCGGAGGCGGTCCAGATCGGCCAGGGACAACCATTTTTGAAAGCTGAGAGGGTAGAGTGCTGCTGTTGAAGGTCAATGGAAAATGTAAAGATCGCCGAGAAATAAATTATTTCGGACAATCGTTTCCCCGGAGCGACAATCTACGATTCGACCTTGTGACTTGGAGATCTCCTTAAAAGAAGGAAAATAAATAAAAGGAAAAAGAAAAAAGACCGACCCAATTGGTCGTTCTCTCTCGTTCTATACCCTTTGTCTTTTGTCCTCTCGCGTGGTGCCTGAGGGGTTGCCCAGGTGCGTAGTGGATGAGTCAATTGCCGCGCCTGCGATTTCCCCCCCGCTCTTTTCTTTCCCCTCCGTCTTTCTTTCGGACTCAGTTCAGGACTTACACCCCTCCCCCGAAGACCTTGAAACGAAACGTCAAGATGGCCTCCGTCAACACCAAGACCGGCCAGTCCATCGACCGCACGGTGCTGGACTCCATGCTCCGCCGCCGCATGTTCTACACCCCCTCCTTCGAAATTTACGGTGGTGTGTCTGGTCTCTATGACTTTGGCCCACCGGGAACCGCCCTGATCGCCAACATGACCGACTTATGGCGCAAGCACTTCGTGCTCGAGGAGGACATGCTTGAGGTCGACACTACCATGTTGACCCCCCACGAGATTCTCAAGACTAGTGGGCACGTGGACAAGTTCGCCGACTGGATGTGCAAGGACCCCAAGACTGGCGAGATCTTCCGTGCCGACCACTTGGTTGAGGAGGTGCTTGAGGCCCGCCTCAAGGGAGACAAGCAGGCGCGTGGTGAGAAAATTGTGGTGGACGAGGAGAAGGAGGCCAAGAAGAAGAGAAAGGCCAAGGGCACCGAGGCTAAGAAGCTGGATGATGCCCTGGTCAAGGAGTACGAGGAAACCCTCGCACAAATTGACAACTACGGTGGCCCCGAGCTCGAGCAGCTCATCAAGAAGCATGACATCCGCAACCCCGTCACCGGCGGCGAGGTGCTGCCTCCGGTCTCTTTCAACCTCATGTTCCAGACCTCCATTGGCCCCAGCGCCAACATGCCTGGTTACCTGCGTCCCGAGACTGCACAGGGTCAGTTCCTGAACTTCGCTAAGCTCCTGGAGTTCAACCAGCAGTCGATGCCGTTCGCCTCTGCCTCCATTGGCAAGTCGTTCCGTAACGAGATTTCCCCCCGTGCGGGTCTCCTGCGTGTTCGTGAGTTCCTCATGGCCGAGATTGAGCACTACGTCGACCCAGAGGGTGGCAAGAAGCACGCTCGATTCGATGAGGTCAAGGATACTGAGCTGTTCTTGCTCAACCGTAACGTGCAGCTTTCCGGAAGCACACAGCTGACCAAGATGACCATCGGCAAGGCCGTTGAGACTGGACTGGTCGACAACGAGACTCTGGGATATTTCCTGGCCCGCATTCAGTCCTTCCTGTTGAAGCTGGGTGTTGACCCCACCAAGCTGCGCTTCCGTCAGCACATGGCCAATGAGATGGCTCACTATGCTACTGACTGCTGGGATGCCGAGTTGCTGACCAGCTACGGCTGGATCGAGTGTGTCGGTTGTGCTGACCGCTCCGCTTACGATCTGACTGTTCATAAGGAGAAGACCGGTGCCCCTCTCGTGGTGCGCCAGGCTCGTGCTGAGCCTCTGCGTATCGAGGAGTACCAGATTGACCTCGAGAAGAAGAAGTTTGGTCCGCGATTCAAGAAGGACGCCAAGACCGTCGAGGCAGCTGTTGAGGCTCTGTCCCAGGAGCTGCGAGAGAAGCTGTCTCTTGACCTCGAGAAGGATGGCAAGATTGAGGTCGATGTTGCGGGTGTTGGATCTGGCAAGGTTGAGATCGAGAAGGACCTGATCAAGATTGAGAAGCGTACTCGTGTTGACAATGTCCGCGAGTACACCCCCAACGTGATCGAACCCTCCTTCGGTATTGGACGTATTCTGTACAGTGTTATTGAGCACTCATACTGGTCCCGCGCCGGTGACGAGACCCGTGGTGTAAGCCTTCCCTTCTATGTTTTTCTGCCATGAACGATGGTACTGACGATACACTATAGGTTCTTTCTTTCCCTCCCGCAGTTGCACCCACAAAGGTCCTGCTGGTTCCCCTCTCCACCCACGCCTCCTTCAAGCCTCTTACCCAGCGTCTGACCTCGAAGCTGCGCAAGGCCGGCATCTCCAACCGTGTCGATGACTCTTCCGCCAGTATCGGCAAGCGTTACTCTCGCAACGACGAGTTGGGCACACCCTTCGGTATCACCGTGGATTTCCAGTCCGTTCAAGACAGCACCTTCACCCTGCGCGACCGCGATACCACCAAGCAGGTCCGTGCCAGCGAGGACGAGATTCTGCAAGCTGTCAAGTCGCTTGTTGAGGGCGACGAGACATGGGAGGATATCCGCAAGCGCCTGCCCGAGTTTACTTCCCAGGAAATCGAGGCTTAGAATGCTTAGAATGCTTAGATGGCATTATAAAATACTATTTACTTTTTTTTGTTTTATCTTCTTCCCATATCAAATAAAGTAGAACAGTCCCAACGATATAGTTTTCGTTCATCACGCTAACCAGGCACGGCGTGCCCCGATCCAGACCACCGCGCCAAGAATCCGGGGCATCTTCGTCATCGATCTGTCCTCTTTACACTCTACTTTGTCAACAACAATGGCGCCCACAGTACACTCCGCCAAATTGACACTCTCGTGTCCGCTATTCGCTGCGGACTTTGACCCGCGCAATAATGGTCGACTCCTAGTTGGCGGCGGAGGCGGCGAGGGGCGTAGCGGAGTTGGAAACAAGATCGCAAGTCCCACCATTTCGAGAAAATCCCCCCTCTTGCAGTGCAAATGCTAATCGTTGTTTTCTGTACAGTCTCTGCTTGACACATCGCGTCGCAACGAGATCACTGAGGCCGTTGAATTGAACCTATCGCGCGATGAAGACTCGGTAACTTCGCTGGCTGCGGCCCCGCTGGCTGGCGACGAGGCGGGCTCGCTTGTTGCTCTGGCCGGTATAAATAGCTCGGTAGAGCAACAAAAAAAGAATAACAATCAGCATCTTCGCGCATTCCGGTTTGAGGTGCCGCGGAAGTCCACCGATGTTGCTGCTTCGAATACACAGAGCGCCGAAGCCAGCGAGAAGGACGAGAAGGCGAAAAAGGACACCAAGTCCGAGGAAGAAGTTATTCCCGGAAAGACTATTGCTTTGTCGCAAGCATCACTCTTCCGAACGAAGAACGGGCCAGGCTCTTCAGATACATACCAACGAGTAACGAGACTCTCGCCGTGGCCGAAAGGGAAGGATGGCACTGAAAAACACACACGGATCGGAGCCGTTGCGACGGGTCTGGCACTATCCGGTGAGATTGTGTTCTTCCGCGCCACAGAGACC